TACTCCCTTGTGTAAAGCTCTTTAAAGGCGTCCTACTCTTATTAGAAGGATGGACTAAGATATCTACCACGGTTATTTTTGTAATCTGGTCGGTTAATAAATGACTCCTCTCAAATGGAAAAACAAAAAATAAGAAAAATAAAGGCCTCCTACTGTCATAAAGTCCAGACTCCTTAACTTGGTATAAGTGGTCCTTCACCATCCCACTTCTCTCACCACTTCTAATACCAGCTTCTTGCGGTTCCTGGATCATGCCATGCTCTTTCTTCTCCTGCCCCTGGATTTGGCACAGAGTTCCCTTACTCATTCACTCACTCAAATATGTATTAAGTGCCCACTATGTGCCTGGGCATTGTACTTGCTACTTGGACACACAAGGTGAATAAAACAGATGTAGGTCTGTTGTAGGTCCCGCCCTCAAGGTACTTAAGTTCAAGTGGAAAAAACAGTAACAAACAAGTAATTTCAGATTGTATAACTGAAATGAAGGGAGCAGGATTATCTATGGTTAGGAGTTAGGGGAAAACTACAATGACAGTTTTAGATAAGTTGCTCTTTTTTTTTTTTGAAAGATTTAAAAACAAACAAAGATTTATTTATTCATGAGAGAAAGAGAGAGAGAGAGAGAGAGAGAGAGAGACAGGCAGAGGGAAAAGCAGGCTCTACGCAGGGAGCCCGACCTGGGACTTGACGTGGGACTTGACCCCGGGGTCTCCAGGATCACAACCCAGGCTGAAGGCGGCGCTAAACCGCTGGGCTACCAGGGCTGCCCTAGATAGGTTGTTCTGGTAAGAACTCAGGTGGTGACATACTCTGAAAGCTGAAGATTAGGTAAACCAACTATGTGAAAAGAAGAGGAGGAGGCAATGAGTGACAACAGATGCTCCTGGAGACTTCAGCAGAGCACACATCAAGGATTTCTGTAGGCCATGGTTAAGAGTTTGGATTGTATTCTAAGTGCAATGGAATTCATTGAAGAATTTTAAGTAAGGGAGTGTCACTTTTTCTGCTGCACGGAGACGGGATTGGACGGGCACAAGGTAAAAAGCAGGTCGTGAGGCCTGAAGATAAAGTAGTGGTTTAGGTGAGAATGTGGATGATTTGGACAAGGGTCTGATAGTGAAGGAGAGGAGAAAGACAAATTAGATGCAGAATTGACCTGATTTGCAAAGTTACCCACTGAAAGTAACAAAGAGATGAAGAGAAGATATATAGAGTTTGGGGAATTGTCATCAGAGGAAGTAAGCTTATCACAGACACAGAATCACAGGATCTCTGGCCCATGCTGACTGCACATTCATGAGGTTTATCATTTTCATTTTATGCTGTCATCAATTTGCACAGGACTTTTCCCAGCAAAATTTGGCCATGTCAGTGCAGGTGCAGGAGGACAAGAGGTTGGCTTCATCGAGGGCACAAGTTTTTTTGTTTTTTTTTTTTTAAAGGAGGGCACAAGTTCTGCCAGAAGAATAAAAGGCAGGGAGGGACAAGGGTACAGTGCATCTTCAAGGGAGAGATCATGAAAAAATATATTTTATATATATTTATATGTAAAAATAACATGCGTCATAAACTGGACAAGGGAGTACATACAGATGGACAGAAAATGTTAAGAATCAACGAATGTGAGGTACAGATGTAGTTCAAGAATTGTAAAAAAAAAAAAAAAAAAAAAGAATTGTACCTGTAGGGTATATGAGGGAGTTGATAAAGACAAGAGCCTGTGGTCAGACAGGAGGAAGTTACTTTTTTTTTTAAAGATTTTATTTATTTATTCATGAGAGACACAGAGAGAAAGAGGCAGAGACACAGGCAGAGGGAGAAGCAGGCTCCATGCAGGGAGCCCGACGTGGGACTTGATCCTGGGTCTACAGCATCAGGCCCTGGGCTGAGGCAGTGCTAAACCACTGAGCCACCTGGGCTGCCCCAGGAGGAAGTTATAATTGTCCCTTGGGCTTGCACTGGTCATTTCCCACTCTGGGCAAACATGACTATTTGATCTCCAACCATAGCCATCCTGGGTCTTCTGCTCTCTTCCCACAACTCCCCAGCACTACCACCTAAGTTTGGCACCATCCCAATCAATCTTTAAAGGTTCACCTCCCGCTACCCCTTCCTTGAAGCACTGTTATGTTTCCCCCACTGGGATCTCCCTCCTGGTGACAGTCTCCACCCGGTGTGTACCTCCTGGGATTATTATTCGTGTTACCAGTTAGGAGTCATTCTTTAACTTTCTAGGCTGTTACTCAATTGGAAAAAGGCATTATGGGCAGCCTGGGTGGCTCAGTGGCTTAGCGCCGCCTTCGGCCCAGGGCTTGATCCTGAATGAAGACCCAGGATGGAGTCCCACGTCGGGCTCCCTGCATGGAGTCTGCTTCTCCCTCTGCCTGTGTCTCTGCCTCTGTCTCTCATGAATAAATAAGTAAAATCTATAAAAAAAAGAATGGAAAAAGCCATTACGATAAACAATCAAAAGTCTCTCGATCCCCAGGGGCAGTACCCAGAACAGCGCCAGGCACAGAAGCAACCACTCAAAAAGTGCCAAAAGAGATCTCAGGCACATGGGCCACCCTACCCTGCTGGTTATCTAAGGCCGGATTCCGCCAAAACCTGACAAAAAGCTCATAATCTCTGTTCATAATACAGCCAGATATTTCCATTTACCTCGAGTGGGCTCCTCTTTCACAAATTTAATCGGGCTCCCTGCATGGAGCCTGCTTCTCCCTCTGCCTGTGTCTCTGCCTCTCTCTCTGCGTCTCTCATAAATAAATAGAATCTTTAAAAAATAAAATAAAATAAAGGGGGTCCCCGGGTGGCTCAGCAGTTTAGCGCTGCCTTCAGCCCAGCATATGACCCTGGGGTCTCGGGATCGAGTCCCACGTCGGGCTCCCTGCATGGAGCCTGCTTCTCCCTCTGCCTGTGTCTGTGTGTGTCTCTCATGAATAATAAAACCTTTTTTTAAAAAAAAACTTAATTTTAACGCATTCAAACCACTCACCACTGGGTGATATGCTATATGTCGGCAAATTGAACCCCAATAAAACAAAGAAAAAACAAAAAACCAAAGCACCCAGACGCGTGAACGGCACAGGCAGGCTGCGGGGGCTGGAGACCCGGATGCCCCCCGGAGGAGGCCACGCACCCCCTCAACACACTAAATCCTCCTCCAGTTCCTGCGGCGCGGGAGGCACGTGGACGGCGCTAGGCCACGGGCCCAGGAGAGCCGGCGAGCCCCCGCGGCCCGGCCTCAGCCCGGCGCCTACCTTCCACCTCTCCGGCTCCAGCGGCGGGGGCCGAGTCGGGGGTCGCCCCCGGGGCTGCCGCCATGGCCAGCGGCGCCCCGGCCACACGCGTGGGCAGCGCAGCGGGAGCCCCTCCGAAGCGCCGCCGACCCCGGCTCCCCCCGGCCGTGCTGCCGGAAGTGGTCCCGGCCGCTCCCACGCTCCCCGGAAGCGCGGCGGCGCGCCCGTCACGTGACGCGCGCTGGGCGGGGCCACGCAGGTTTGTTTTGATTGCCCTGGTTCTGAAATGCCAGCACGTGGTCTAGGCTCCGGCGCTTTTTTTTTTTTTTTTTTTTTTTTTTAAACCTTCCCCACAGGCCGTAAGATCTTTCTTTCGTTGTCGCAGCCTTAGTTTCTGCTCCCCGTCTTTTCCAGTCGGGTCCTTCCATCTGCCTTGGCGCTTTCCTCCTCCCAACAGCTTTGGGAGTTTGAGGGGATGGTTTGCAGTTTTGTGGGGCGTGGGGCCCTAGAATGGGTCTCCGCCTCCGCTGACTCCGTGGGTACCAGGACAGCTCACGCTTCTCTTCCAACCTCCCTGGCCCTTCTGGCAACAACATGATTCCGTCTGGTTCTTTTTTTTTTTTTTTTTTTTTTAGGATTTATTTATTCATGAGAGACACAGAGAGAGAGAGAAGCAGAGACACAGGCAGAGGGAGAAGCAGGCTCCATGCAGGGAGCCCGATGCTGGACTGGATCCCAGGTCCCCGGGGTCACGCCCTGGGCCGAAGGCAGGCACTAAACCACTGAGCCCCCCAGGGATCCCCCGATTCCGCCTGGTTCTTGTGGCTGCGGGGGAATACGAACTTCAGGCAGACTTTCTTTCTTTCTTTCTTTCTTTCTTTCTTTCTTTCTTTCTTTCTTTCTTTTAGATTGTATTTATTTATTCATGATAGACACAGAGAGAGAGAGAGAGAGAGAGGCAGAGACACAGGCAGAGGGAGAAGCAGGCCCCACTCTGGGAGCCCGACGCGGGACCCGATCCCAGGACACCTGGATCACGCCCCGGGCTAAAGGCAGGCGCCAATCCCCTGAGCCACCCAGGGATCCCCAGGCAGACGTTCTTTAAGCGCGTTCTCCGTGACTCATTTCCCGACCCACACAAGCCAAATCGCTTGACTTAGGGTTTCAAGGACACTCGCCGACAGCTGTCAGGCTACCGGATCTGTATAATGAAATAAACAACCGGCTGCTTGATCAGAGAGATCACACCCTCCCCCTCCCCGCACCCTTCTCACTTACTTTTCATTTGGTCAAAATCCTAACAACTGGAGACGGATCCAAGCCATTAGGGGCAGAAGTCTCTTAGTCTTCATCCACATGTCTTTATTGCTAGCCCATCAATGACAGTCAACGGATAGAAAGAGATCTCTACCTTTTTCTACGTGCGTATGAATGGAACTGGCTAGCTTATGGTGTCGGTGGGCGTGTAAGACATGATGATAAAAGTATGCAAGTACTGACTGTCCGTAAAAACGAAATTATTTTCAAGCGGCAGACGCAACGGCTCAATCTTACCGTATCCCCCATCCCCAACACACACACACACACACACACACACACGCCTTTAATTCCCAAAATCAGAAATCCAACAGAAATAATAATAAGTCCCAATACGGAAGCAAGCAGTAGCTTAAGTAATGGGAGGCATCCGAGTTGTTTACTCGGCACGTGATGTAAACTTAGGCCCTGCCTCCAGCAATCCCAGGCTCCCGGGCCAACCTCTTAAAACAGCGTCTCCGGGGAGTCTCCTTCTCCCGGGCTCGGCGGCGCTGGGACTTCCTCGTGCTTCCTCCGGGAGGCTGTCTGCAGGCCGGCGCCCGCCTCCCGTGGCTCTCCGGGGCTCGCGGGGTGCAGGGGTGCGGTGGGGGCGAGGGCTCCCCTCGCGCGGCCCCCCAGCCTCCGCCCGGCGCGCGCGGCACCCGCCCCTCCTCGCGGCCCCGGGCGGGCGCGCAGGGCGCAGGCGCAGCAGGCGTGGCCCGGAGGCCGAGGGCGACCGCAGCGGCGCGGGGCTGCTCGGCGGCCCCCCGGACGGCGCTGGGCACAGGCCCCGCGGGCCACGCGTCGCCATGGGCGCGGGCTGGAGCAGCGAGGAGGAGCGGCAGCCGCTGCTGGGGCCCGGGCTCGGGCCTGCCGCGCCGGGGGGCGCCTGGAGGGGCCGCGGGGAGGCGGCGGCGGCGGCGGCGGCGGCGGCGGCGCCGGGGCCCGGGCGGGTGTACGGGCGCCGCTGGCTGGTGCTGCTGCTCTTCTCGCTGCTGGGCTTCGCGCAGGGCCTGGTCTGGAACACCTGGGGCCCCATCCAGAACTCGGCGCGCCAGGCCTACGGCTTCTCCAGCTGGGACATCGCGCTGCTGGTGCTGTGGGGACCCATCGGCTTCTTGCCCTGCTTCGCGTTCATGTGGCTGCTGGACAAGAGAGGTGAGGGGGTCGCTGCTGGGGGAGCCGGGGAGCCGCGGGCGCGGTGGTCTGAAGGGTTACGTGAGGCCACCCGGTGCTGCTGGCATCCCATTCCCAGCCCTCCGTCCCCAAAGCGACAAAGCCTCTTTGCAGAGACTGTATTTGTGTTTACATCGAGGCCCATTATGCAAACAAAGCTTAAGCCATCTTCTAAACGTTCACGTTTTATTGCACAGTGTGGACCTCAGAGCATTCCTGTGCATGTGCTATTTATGCCTTTTTTTTTTTTTTTAATACCTGAGCAGGATGACTGATGCTTTGACTTCAAAGGGATTTGGAGAGGTGGAGGGTGAAAGGTCAGAAAATTGATGATGCCCACAAGTACTGAGTTGGCCTTTGCATCATAGATGACTCCAGAGCCCAGGGCTTTTGGGAAACTCCGATCTCAGAGCTATGGTTTCTGTAAAATGGTGCACTGGCAGCTTTAAAGTGTGTGTTGGTGACTAGGTGGTTGTGCCAGTCGAGATGTAGGATTCTCAGATAAAGCAGGGCGGATGAATGAAGTGTTCCTCTCTGAGGAACACTGTGGACACACATCTCTCTTTTACCTACCCCTTCCCAGTGTAAAAAAAGAGGAGAAAAAAGAGGTCGTACGACTGAATGATAAGGCATTGAATTATACCACACAGATCTGGGTACAGGATTTAGGATCACTGTGATGTAGCTGCTGAAAAAGGAGGACAGTTTTAGGCATGGAGGTAGAGTGTCAAACAGAGACAGCTGGATATGCTCTGGTGTGTAGCCTGAGCATTCATTTTAAGGAGCCCATTGACAAACTGGAGCGTTGTTAAAGTCGTGTGGCAAGAATAATAAAATCATTGTGTGTAAGGTTAAGGGAACTGGGTGTGTCAAGCTTTAAAAAGAAACTTGAGGAAGAATGTAAAACATGTGAAGATCAAGTAAAAGAGGAATTAGGCTTACTGTGTGTAATTCTAGAAGGAAGAACTAAATTGAGTGAAGCTACAAAAGGATGTAACTCAAAGCAATAAAGGAAGAACCTTCTAAGAACAAAAAAGGTGTGCAGCCCTGGAAGGTGTGTCTTGACCGGCATAGACCTTCCAGATAGAGTAGGTGCTTTTGCAGAGGATGTGTGCTAGATGCTGAGGAAAGGCTTCTTGTACCAAATGGAGGTTTTCTTTGTTTTTTGTTTGTTTACTTTTACACCAATTTATAGATTGTATTTGGATTTTGCCAGTTTTTCCACTAGCATCTTTTATTTATTTTTTTCCTGTTCCAGGATTCAGTGTAGGGCTCCAGATTGCATTTAGCTACAACTTCTCCTTAATCTCTTCCAATCTGTGACAGTTCCTCTGTCATTCCTTATAAGGTTGGCTAAATTTAGGGGAAAATCTTATTTTGTGGTTATTTTTATTTATCTTTTCATCAGGAGCATGTTCCAATATTATTTTTCTAAATTTAACCAAACTTGTTTTTGTGGTAGAAGAATGTTAATTTTTACCTTTTTCTTATAATTGTATGAACTGTCTGTGGCTAGATAAGTTAGGGATTACCTCTTCACTTATAAAATAAGTTATTTTAGGAATTCTTTTGATAGTTCCTCCACATAGAGAATTAAGTTTTATTTTTTTATTTTTTTTAAGATTTTATTTATTTATTCATGAGAGACACAGAGGCAGAGACACAGGCAGAGGGAGAAGCAGGCGCCATGCAGGGAGCCCAGTGTGGGACTCGATTCTGGGACTCCAGGATCACGCCCTGGGCCGAAGGCAGATGCTAAACTGCTGAGCCACCCAGGGATCCCCGAGAATTAAGTTTTATTTTTTATTATTTTTTAAAGATTTATTTATTTATTTGGCGGAGGGAGAAGCAGGCTCCCTGTGGGGAGCCTGTTGTGGGACTCGATCCTGGATCCTGGGATCACACCCTGGGCAGAAGGCAGACACTCCACCGCTGAGCCACTCAGGTGTCCGGAGAATTAAGTTTTATATTCACCATGGGTTGAAGCAGTAAAAACTAAATTTAAAATTTCTCTTTGGGAAGTGATTTTCCTTTTCAGTAGGAGAAAGCTAATATACTTTCATATGTTGGCTGTCCTGCTACAGATGTCCTATCTACATACCTAGAAAGTAAGTTCTCAGCATCCTTGGGTACTAAAATATCTTGCTCTTTAGAGGGTAGATAGTTGTCTAGCCTTCCTACTGCCATAGGCCCCAGCCACCTTAGCATAGAAGACCAGTTATCTTTGTAAGGTGGGTTTTATACCTGCTTACACCTTTTCATTTTTTTAGTAAAGAGACAAAAAAGGACTAGGTGGTGAGATAATAGGAGATCCAAGAGCAAGTGTGCCTTAGAAGTCAAGTGAAGAAAGTTTCAAGGAGATAGTACTTAAATGTATGCTAAGTACTAGAAAGATAGCCTTCACAGAGCCTACATTCTAATGAGGAGACCTAAGCAAAAAAAAAACAAAAAAAAAAAACCAAAAACAAACAGTAATATTAAATATTTAGTATGTCAAATGATGATAAATGCTATGGAGAAAAATAAAGCAAGACAGGAGAGAAAGAGGAGGTCATGGTTGAAGACTGGAATGCTTGAAACAGATTATGTCTTGAATGCAATCGTAGTAAAGATAAAGTCAGAGTATAAACAGCCAAACAGACTACTGAAGTGTAGGGCAGAGGACATGATCATAGAATAAGAAGTCAGGGGACTGAGAGGTCAGGATATTGAAATGATCATCTAGTGGATCTCTAAAACACCAGATTTATGAAAAAGTGGTGTCATAAGGAGGAATATTGAACCAAGACATTTGCAGATGGTGAGAGTAAATGCCCTGGAGACAAGTGTGTGGTGGTCTATAGACAGCTGCAGCAAGGAGTTTTTGAGTATTAGAATAAAATATTAATTAGATCAAAGGCTGTTCTGGCCATAATGGAGTAATAGGAACTGGATTTATTCTTCTATTTTCAACAAAAACAAAAACCAAAAAACAGTTTTCAGACACTGGGCAGCAGGCAGGGCAGAGCAGTGATCCTATGAATACCTCAGCCCACTGCCTGGAAAGAATGTCCAGGTATCTGTGTAGGGATGGGGAGCCTGGGCTGAGTGCTGCAGTTTCCCTAAGTTTAGTAGACAGTTGAGGATTCCAAGAGACCAACTTAGCTAGAATTCTTAGGGTGGAACCAGAGAGGAAAAAAACCTCACAGAAAGTTCTATAGGGAGTTTCTCTTGAGTCTTCAGCTGATAACCGATCAGCAGATACATGTGAGGAAACTACCAAACACTGGAAAAAGGACCAGCAAAAAAGAACAAGCAGAACAATTCCTCAGGTTCACACAAGGCTGGGCATAGTTCACATTCCCAAGGCCAGAAAGGGAAAACCCCAAAATACATAAGAGGTTGGGTTGAATATTGCCTCAGTAGTAAAGACAAAAGAACCCTAGACTAAAGAATGCTCTGGTTTCACCTAATAAAGTTTAAAAGTGTGCTTCGGAAAGATCAAAAGTAACTTAGATATCTCTCAGTATCATTCACAAACATTTAAAGAAGTGCTAAAAAAAAAAAAAAAAAACCATCCAACAAGGTAAAATTCAGGACTCCTGACATTGAAATAAAAATTTACAAAGTATGCAAACAAGCAGGAAAATACAACATGTAGAGAAAAAACAATGAATAAAAACAGGTCCCAAAATGGCACAAATGGGGACACCTGGGTGGCTTAGCGGTTGGGCAGCTGCCTTTGGCTTAGGTCATGATCCTGGGGTCCGGGATCAAGCCCTGCATTGGGCTCCTATGAGGAGCCTACTTCTCCCTCTGCCTATGTCTCTGCCCCCCCCCCCACCGTGTCTCTCATGAATACATAGATAAATCTTTAAAGGAAAAAAATGACACAAATGATAGAATTATTAGATAGGAACATCAAAACAGCTACTTTAAATATTCTATATACATTCAAGAAGATAGAAGAAAGCATGAACATGTTGAGGAGAGATGCAGGAAACATAAGAAGACCATTAAATTTCTATAGATGAAAATGTGATCTGATCAACAACAAAAAAGCCATGCCAGACAGGATTTAAATGCAGATTAGACATTGCAGAAGAAAAGATTAGTGAACTTGAAGACAGCAATAAACACTATCCAAAATGGAAAAGAGAGGCACAAAAAAATGACTAAAAAGAAACAAAACTCCACCAGTGTCAGTGAGCTGTGGGACAGTTTTTAGTGACCTAATATACATGTAATTAGGGTTCCAGAAAGAGGAGTAAGGGGAGAACAGGAGTAAGATTAGGGAGGGCCCGAAAATTGAAGAAATAATGGCAGAAAAAAATCCATATCTACAAACCCACAACTCTAAGAAATACAAGAATCCTAGCAGAAGAAACATGAGGCACAGCCTAATCATATCATTTAAAACCAGACAAAATCTTAAAAGCATCAAGAAAAGAGATTGAGGAAGTTTAGGGAGGAGAGAATGACTGGGATCTGAAAGTGCTTGGGAAGCATTGTCATGGGGTGAGAGGTTTTGGTGGGATTAGAAGGTGAAGAGAACATTTGGAGAAGGGCTTGGCAATGTAGGGATTCCACTGATATACTGATTGTGAGCACTACAGAAGGCACAGTGGAAGGGTTTCAGGAGTTGGGGAAGCTGTAGAGATGAGGTCAGATTAGGGGATATATGAAGCCATATTTGTATACGAATGACCTATGAATCTTGGATCTCTCTTGACTGGTGTAGACAGGAAAAACAGGCACAACGTGATTATTCCTGATGGTCTCCAAAGCAGATTGGAGTGGCAAGGCTGTGGCTTTTGGGAATAGGGAGACAGGAGGTCTTGCCAAGAACAAAGAGAGCTGGTCTTCATTCCAGTTGATGGAAGTATGGAGCCTGAGAACAGTCTTAACAGATAAACCTTATGGCTATAATTAATTTCCCATGTATCCACTATGGATGTGGATGTGTATGTGTTCCAGTTAACTTTGCATCCTGATTTTT